TTAAGGTCCATTTCATCATTTATCCCTGAGGTTAACCCCGCAGGGCCAATCCTATCCAGAGGATAATGCAGTTTAACTTACCCTGGGTAACACCTCTTGACCAATCAGCTCCTGCAAATGCCGGATCGTGCTCAAAACCAAGGTGTTGATGGCAAACGGATCGCACAAGATCATCGACAGGTCCCTAGGGAAGGAGAGAGAAACAAGCAAACGCATCAAATGCACCTTTGCAGCAAGCTACTTTTCGAGGCTCGCTTTCCCCAGGGTAGAATTCCTCCTAATTTTGGTCTTTTAGTGGATTAAAACCTAAGTCCTGCTCTGCTTTCATTGCCTCTGTGGTCTCAAGTAACCTCCTGGCTGACGAAGACTTCTGCAGAACTTGCATATAGGCAGTCGACCTACAGCCATGGGTCTGTCTAGTTTAACGAAGAGAAGGACGAGGGGGGACATGATAGCAGCGTTCCAGTATCTCAGGGGCTGCCCCAAAGAAGAGGGAGTCAAGCTATTCTCCAAAGCGCCCAAAGGCAGGACAAGAAGCAATGGATGGAAACTAATCAAGGAGAGAAGCAACCTAGAACTAAGGAGAAACTTCCTGACAATCAGAACAATTAACCAGTGGAACAACTTGCCTCCAGAAGTTGTGGGTGCTCCAACACTGGAAGTTTTTAAGAAGAGACTGGACAGCCATTTGTCCAAAATGGTATAGGGTTTCCTGCCTGAGCAGGGGGTTGGACTAGAAGACCTCCAAGGTCCCTTCCAACTGTATTATTATTATTATTATTATTATTATTATTATTATTATTATTATTATTATTATTATTATTTCCAATCCAGGCAGTTTGAGAACAAAGCCTCAAAAGGAAACACAACAGCCGATTCCCCATCCCGTTTCGTGAATGGTTTTAATCGTTTTGGCAAGCGGAAAAAGCCTCTTAAGCCTGCCTCCAGGTTCTTCAGCACTTACCCCAGCACTTGCTCTTGGGCCTTTTTCACTCCGTCGAGGAAGCCCTGCAGCTCCCGCGCCCGCTTGTTGTCGACAAACTTCTCCCGAATGCAAGCGTCGAGGCACCACGTAAACTGCCAAGGGGAAAAAGATTTGACATAAAGTGTGAATAGGAGGACAGCTGGCCAGCTCCTGAAAGAATGCAGGCACCAGGAAAGGGAAGTGGTGAGGCTAGAAAGCTGGAGACAGTCAGTTCTAGTCCTGCTTCAGGCCTGAAAACCGGTTGGGTGACTTTGGGCCAATCACCAGGAGACGGTGAGTTCTAGTCCCGCCTTAATCATGAAAGCTGGCTGGATGATTTAGGGCTAAATATCAGGAGACAGTGAATTCTAGTTCTATCTTTGGCATGAAAGCCAGCTGTGTGACTTTGGGCCTATCACCAGGAGACGGTGAGTTCTAGTCCCACCTTAGTCATGAAAGTTGGCTGGATGACTTAGGGCCAAATACCAGGAGACAGTGAATTCTAGTTCTACCTTAGGCATGAAAGCCAGCTGTGTGACTTTGGGCCTATCACCAGGAAACGGCGAGTTCTAGTCCCGCCTTAGGCATGAAAGCCAGTTGGGTGACTTTGGGCCAGGCTCTCTCTTTCTCTCAGACCAGCCCACCTCACAGGGTTGTTGTTGAGCAGAAAAAAGGAGGAGGAGGAATTTGTGTCGGATATGTTTGTCATTTTGAATTCTTTGTAAAAAAAAGTATAGAAAGACGGAATACAAATAAGTAAAAATTAAACATCGGTTTCTTCTTAGATGGAGTGGCCTGTTTTCAATCCCCGCTTAGTTTGGGAAGGGGACAATCTGAGTTGCCAACAAGGTTTCTCTCAGCCGGGATTATTATTATCTTTTTGGACGGCAGCAAAACTCTTATTGCTGCCGAAGGGCTGGAGAGCTGCACAGCTGTTTCTTGCGTGGGTACCTTGTGGCAGGGGTCCACCGTGCAGATCTCGCTGATGTCCAGGTCGTGGAGGGACATGAGGAGCTCCGCCCTCAGCGTGCAATAATGGACGTTCCGCGTCCGGAGGAAGAGCGTCCGGAGGAACTGAAGCACCATGTCGTACAGCTTCACGTTCTTCCCGATCATCTGGGTCAGCTTCTGAACCACCTTTGAAACAAAGACAGAGCAAGATTCTGAGTGCCTCCAGCAATGGGGGGGGGGGGAGAGAGGGAGGAGGGCAGAATCAGGGCTGTGGAGTCGGTAGATAAATGTTCCGACTCCGACTCCTCAGTTTTTTGTACTTCCGACTCCCCGACTCCTCTGTATTAATAAGCTAACAATCGGAGTTTACAAGTTTTTATAGCCTTAGCTGAATGACAGCAGTTTTTCCAATGGTTTACAGCTTCAGTCTTGAACTATTGACCCTCCATTCCCTTCACTTATACAAGTGTCTCTAGTCCTGCAAAAAACATTTACTTAATCCCTTATCAGTGAGAGGCTAGGTTACCCA